GTGGCGCTATAACTCCTGTAGAGTCAAGGCCTCTCGCAGCTTGGTCCGCCAGTCTTCTCTATTGGTTGCCGCTCCATCCTCTGCCATTCCATCGATCCATCGGAGCCGAGGTCTTCCCACTCTTCTTGTCCCATAAATCCCTTCATCTAGGACCATCTTAGGAATCTGATCCTGGATCAATCTAATTAAATGACCTGCCCATCGAAGCCGGCCTACTTTTTGTAGAGTCTTTTTAGCTCAGCATTCGTTCTTATCCTCCAGATTCCATTTATACAAACCTGACCATAAATTCTCCTCAATATTCTCCTCTCGAACCTTAGGAGAAGGGCTTCCTATGTACTAGGTAATGCCCAGCATTAGCAGTTGCACCTTTGTGTTTTGATACATAGCCCTGATCCTGAAATGCTTTAGTAATCCGAAATAGCATTTATTAGCGGACATAATTCTGGGATGGATCTCTGCTTTTATGTCATTATCCGCGTTCAATTGTGAGCCAAGATATATAAATTCTTTTACCCTATCAAATGAAAAGTTTCCAGTTATAAAATGCGATGATTCGTGTACATTAAGTAACATTACTTAACCTTCAATCACTAAGTGCTTTGATGAATTTTCAGATTCGTGAAATCAGAAAATTGTACGCTTTTTGTAACTATATTTGACGTATAAAAGAGTTTTGTGTCATTTTATTGCACATACAGTATTTTGTTTTTTATAAATAAGGTCGATATTCACAAAAACGTTTTTAAAAGTACAACCCCATCAAAAATGTACCTAGTGATATGTTACTATAAACCGACGTTATTTACATATTGTTACTGTTAGCGCAAAAGATATGTAACAAACTTCTGTGCTAATTCTATTTGTGCTAAAGGTGACATTTTGTAGTCTGCAAGTGCAATGAATAGTCTGCAACTATAACAAATAATATAGGAAAATAAAATATCAAATTATATAATAAATCATTAAGAAATAATCAGCTTTTATGCTCTTTCGTAAAAAAACTGAATGCTATACGACCTCTTGCAGGGGGCGATGGCCGAGCGGGCTATCGCGTGTACGCAGTACCACGCGTTGCCTGCCAACCCGAATAGAAGATAATGTGATAATACAGAGTTCGCTGCGCCAAGGGGGACTTTTATTCCGGCATTAATCCCCCGCACTCATCCCCCAGCTCGGGAAAACCTCGTATAGCCTAAAAGGCGAGAAAGGGCCAAGAACCAAAGAACAAAATAAGCCGTTTTGCACTAATGGTAGCGATATGTTTTAAAATTATTTCATGGAAATCAATTTAATGGTTGTAATTTTTCTACCAAAAAAAAAAGTAATCGGATAGAAATTCAAGTGTAATTTTTTTAACACTTGTTTATTACACTATATCTGCATCATTTTGCCAATTATTTTGTACAACGAAGTTTTTCAACCTAACTGTTTCTTGGTTAATATTTAACTTATCTACTTGTTGAAGTATGACTTGTCAATACAATAATTATAATTTCAACAAAAATTTAAATAATATCTAATATTTATAATGTTGTTGTTGTATAGCCGTAATTGTCTTTGAAGTAGAGTGTTACTTATGGAATGGGGCAGATTATTATAGAAAAAAAAGAACGAGGAAGAAGTATTTTGAGCAATAAATAATTACACCAATTTTCTTTTAACAATAGCCGAAGAAAATTTCGACCGCATTTCAATCATGAAAAGGATGTTATGATGATTACATTAATCACAGATGATGGTGTAATTTTGAACCATTATTCACAAATCATTGGTGATTATTTAGAATATTTCTTGAGAATCATTACTACTTACTTTGAAGAAATTGAATACCCAATCGACTCCCAACAACTACTTCGATAACAAGCCTTCAGATATCCTCTTGTATATATCCTCGTACGACTTATTTAGCATTTTCAGAAAAAAATAAACAACTATAAATTAAGATATATTTGCAATTTAATAATTAAATTGAATATCCTGACAGCTGATCAGTTAAAAAAAAAGCGAATATTAAAATACGCAAGAGTTTCACATTTTCAAATCTCTTATATAATGATTCATCATAAAGGAAAAAAAAAAAAAAAAAAACCAGTACATACTAAATATGTATATCATTATTGTTAGTAAAAAAGATCATAATTAAAAACTGAGTGTTTTACAGAAGAGCGTAAAAACTAATATTCTCTTTACGACAAACACTGGAGAAAAAATCAGAGTACAACGGTGTTGTTCACCAGCTTTATATCGAGTTTTTCAATTATTCCAAATAACTATATTTGTTCTCAGTTTAAATAAATTTTAAGAATTTAAATGAAATTTCTTTACATTAAATTTAATGCTCATTTGAATGCAATATTTTAATTTATTACAGTATCAATAATAAACGAAGGTAGTATAAAATACATACCAAATGATTTTTTTCTAGAAATATTGGTTTAATCTGTATGATGAATTGTATTCATTATTATATTAATTATTGAAATCTGTAAAAAGAAAGACAAATATGAACTAAAAAAATAATATATATATATATATATATATATATATATTTAACTACTCGATAAATTAAAGAATAATATATCGAATTAATTTAATGATAAATATAATTCGTGTGTGAATTTATCAATTTACAAATTATATTGATCGATGATATTTCAAATAGATATTTCGAATTTTTATTTCCGAACACGAGACATATGCTAGGCATAGGTTTCGCCATATTAAATAATCAACTAATTAAAAATTCTCGAAGAATAGAACGGCAGGGACCTTAATATATAATGAGGTACGACTGAGGTCAAATACATGAAAGGATGTTGCTGATTTGACTGGACAAACTCCCCGGGCTCTGATAAATGGGTCAAGAGCGATTCGATAAACAGGCTAAGTTTCTCGGCTCCAGTACGTCATTGATTAATCAGTTTAATGATACTTTATACTTAAATAAGTGAGTAGCCAGTTTAAAAAAAAAATCTCATTTAATTATTAAAAATTTAGTATATTAAAGCACCTGAAATTCTTCAATATTCACCAGAACTAAAACATTGCAATAAAAAAGTTCACTAACAAGAGGCGGTTACAGGCAGTGGTCAGTAGGTCACCGATTTCAACCTTTTTTTTTTTTGGAGATAGTACACTGAAACATATTGGGCATATCTCCCAGCATTCCTTCCAATTGGTCCTTTCAGACCGCGAAAACAATATTTTAAATAATTTACGTTATTTATTTTTACTTTTACCATACCAAGGATTTCGAGGTTATTATATTATAATATATATATATTGTATTAAATAGGAAAAAGTTGGGTGAACGCGGCAGTTATGGACAGATTAGACTTTAAATGTAAATAATAAGCTTCCTTGTTGCTTTAAAGATTCCAGTTTTACTATCGACAAGAACCATCAATTGCATCCCGAATGCTTCAATCACACATCATAACCTTGAAGAATGGTTTCAACACTGGAGTATTAAAATAAATTCCAATAAATCTCACCAAATTACCTTTACCCTTCGTCGTAAACCTATGACTTATGACCTGTCCTACAGTTTCCTTTAGCAATACTCCACTTACCCTGCTGAACAAATTCGCTACCTAGAACTCCACCTGGACACCGTCTTACTTGGAATCCTCATACTAGACTGAAATGACAAGAAACCGCTCGACGTTTCCGATTAATTCAGCACTTACTAGACAAACGCTCTAAACTTCCAATTATTTACAAAATACTCATATACATGACTATAATAAGGCCTTTTTGGACTTACGGAGTTGAGTTATGGGGCTCCACTAAACTATCGAATTTCTTTCGTATCCAATCCTTACAATCTAAAATCCTTCGTAAAATCCTCAATGCTTAATACTTTGTTACAAATAAAACCATCTATGTTGACCTTAATGTTTCTTAGGTTTCAGATCTGGCCCAAACCAGATACCTATCTTACCATAATGAACTTCAGAATCATCCCAACCTTTTCGTTTCTAACCTTCCTTCCTCTTCAATTCCTGATAATCCTCCGAGGCGTCTGAAAAGAAGATGGCCCCGTGATCTCTTAATGTAGACATATTATTAGAGTGCTAAATAAATAATAAATAATTACTTGTCCTGGACTTGACAACTTGGCCCCGACATAATACTAAACTACTTCGCTGCTTATCGATTTAAAATAAAATTTAATTATTCTGACATAAATTTATAGCATTAAGGATTTGAAAGGTTATTGTTGATGAGGTTGCACTGCAATTTTTTTTAGGCCTATTCTTACAAAAATAAGATACTTTTGTATGTCATCGGAGTGGAATGAGGTTGCATTTTAAGTGAGTGCCATTGTCCTTAAACTCAAATAAGTCACTCAAATTCGACTTAAGGTCAAGATCTCAAGATCACGCTTTACTTTCGGAGTCACTCGGGATTCCATTCATGGTGTGGTCATAAGATATTGTGTCACCTATCAAAGTGGAGTGACCTTTAATTTATTTCAGAAACCCTATAAGGCAACTATTGTAGTTTTTTTTAATATTATATTCCACAAAATATTCTTAAATTTCTATATTACAGACAACCTTTGACATGCAGCATTTTAGATTTCCATGAAAAACATGAGTTGAGATTGTTGGCACTTGGCTAAAATTTCTAAATTAAAAAAACGAACAATATATTTATAAATCATTTTTCTCTTATCATTCATTATTTAACACACTTTTGATATTTTAAATCTCTAACCAAACATACACTATTCATTAAAAAAATGAAAATAATAAGTTGCCACTCACTGTATTTCAACAAAGTAAAGAAGCGATAAGCAGTTAGTCCATATATCCTCAAACTGGATCAAATTAATTAATTAAGGAGCTGTTCAAATGGCACCAGGCAATAGAGCTCTTATGAGAAAACCATGTAACATGTAATATATTATGGCTTGTCATTGTGTCTTCTATTTTTTAAAATAATCACAGTGCCAACAATAGCAACATATATGTAACATATGATCAGTATGAAACGTCAATGAATGTACAAAAAACATTTTACACTCTCCACTCAAAATCTTTTACGGATATGCATTACAATGTTATACCTCCACTAAACTCCTCAAAATAAATAGTACTGTCAAAATGGCTCGAAAAAAAAAGTACCTTTACTTCGCCTATTGCGTCAACATGCTGAGCTCTAGGATGGAATGTTGCGTCGACAAGAACATCGTCCGGAAAGGTCACGCTAAACTGGATGGCTACAAACTGCTGTTCGGATCCTATAACGAAGAATGGGAAGGCTGCCTGCCCACCATCGCCAAGTCTTGCTGTTCCGATGACGTAGTGTGGGGCGTACTCTGGGAAGTGGACGAATCTGTGAAACCGCGCTTGGACAGGTTGCAAGGAGTCGGCAACAAGATATACGAGCAGTGTGAAGTGGAGGTAAACGTCTTCAAGAGCAGTTCGGCGGCCCGCGCCATGACCTATCGCCTGGCCAAGAGGCCGCTCAGTCCTATCCTCTACAGAGATCTGCATCCGAGGCTGCGGTACCGTCCGTCCAAGCTCTACCTCGAGGAGATGGTGAAGGGGGCTGCGGAGTCAGGTCTACCGACCTTCTATCTGAAGAAGTTGAAGAACATTGCACACAACGGCTACGGTAAGGGTACCGGCGAGATTTCTGTGGCCATTCTGTAGTTCACAGTGCTACAAATATTATCACTTACTTTCTAGCACTGCATATCGTAAACTTACTATATTCGACAATAAAATACTAAATCGATTTTCATGCAGTTATTCATAATTTAATATTTTTTTAATTTAAACAACTGATGAGTACGTTCCAACCCGGGTATCTTTTTAGCCTTTTATAGAAAATTATATAAATTTTATAATTGAAATTCAACATGAAATAATGATTAAATATTTTTTATTATAAACGATCATCCTTTAATCTTCAAGCGTTGGGTATGAAAATTTTAACACACGTGATATTTTAACATATGTATGAAAAAAAGGAACGCATATGATATTATAACATCTGTATATTAATAACTACGAGTGACCACGTATCAAAGGCGGACATCTGTCACAAATTCGAATTTGAGTTATCAGTTGATTATTGTAGCATTTTCCTCACTCTTTTAAACGTTAAAATCAGTTTACATGTAAATATGTTAAATTTAGCCTTGTACACTTCGTTTCCAAAAACCGACACTTTAAATGTAAGTTCGTTTCAAAGTGTACATTTACCAAACTGCTAATAAAATTGCCGGATTTTTAATCACGTGATTCAATCTTTAGCGATGGATAATTATTATTTCCTAAAGGGAAACAACACCAAGAGGAAACAACAACGCTATTTATTAAATCAAAAAGAATAGCGATCTCCTAAATCTAAGTTGAATAACGAAAATTATTGGAGTTTCCTGTAGATAAATTTCCAAAAGAATGGTTGCTAATGAGAAAAACAAACCATAGGCGCAGAGAATTGGGAGGGGAGGGAGAAGGATTCATTGTTTATATGTACTTTTTTGTAGCTCTTGAGGTCAACTTTTTAAATTACTTTTTTAACTATTTCCCTCAACTTACGGAACACCCTAGGATTTTACAAATACGTTATATATTCAATTGTATTTTTTAAAACTACATTGTAACTACATTTAACTGAACAACCTGAAAATCAGAAGCACTTACTTCAATTTCTGAAAAAAAAAACACAATTACTACAGACATATTTAAACAATACAATTTTCATACTCTCAACGTAAATCAGAAATAATCTATGCAGCTGTAACAACACGTTGTTTAAACAAACATCCTAATAACATATACGTCTAAAAAATAATACAACGCGATCCCTACAAACATATTGTAATTCAATAACCAATAGTTGCATACGACACCTAAAATATAATCAAATTAATAACATTTACTAACTAAACAAATAAGTTTTAAATATTATTTTTGTTCGTTTCACAATAATTATGTTCAATTTTTACACATAATAAATACTCCCGCCATTTTTTATTTTTATCGCCCCCCTCCCCCTCCAACCAAAATGAAAATTCTGCGCCTATGAACCAAACGAAGAAGTCCTCCGGAATATAAGATACTGATAAAACATGACAGGGGAAGCCCAATTCCATTTTAAATTTTCCAAATACAGGTGAATAACTTTTCGGAAGACTAAGTTTGGAAACATAGCAGTGAAAGGAAAACAATCTTAGAACATCGTTACTGGAGCAATGAGGCCAATCTGTAGGCCCAATTGCAGACCTTAATTAATCAACCCACAGGAAATACCATCATAAGACATCAATCATAAGACTTATACGGTTTGGTGTTATCAATAAAAATTGATATACTAGTAAGATTCAGCTTTATAAAACGCTCATTCATCCGGTACTGATGTATGGCTCCGAAGCGTGTACAATGACGCAAGGAGACGAGCGGTCCCTAGCGTTATTTGAGCGGAAGGTGCAACGCAGAATCTATGGTCCTATAGTTCCACAACCTGTTCAAGGAGCCGGATGTCATAAGAGCCATAAGGCTTGCAAGACTGCGATGGGCAGGGTACGTGGCGAGAATGCAAAATGGTGAAATCCCCCCCAAAAAACTATGGGGAGCAATGAACAAGGCTCCAGGAGATTAGGAAGACCACGGTTACGATGGGAGTATTGTGTGGCAAGAGATGCACGTGCATTACTTGGTGTACGTAACTGGAAAACGGCTGCTCAGACTCTTCATGAGTTGTAATGCCGTGGAAGAAGAAGAAGTAAGAATCAGGTACCCATTTGTTATAGACTGGGTGTGACCTATGAGTTTTTCTGGAACACAAAGTCGATCCAGGACTGTTATAACAGAATACTTGGTAAAAAAGTTGTCTTCTGCATTTTAGGCAATTGGTTTCAAAACTAGCCCAATCTACTTCCTTAAAAAATGTTTTTATTTCATTTTTCACAAGGTATTAATAATAATATGCTGCATCACCTGCTGAAACCTTATCGACCATAAGTTTCTTAGAGATGGTGGTATTTCGATGAGTGAGGCACTAGATTCACTGGTCTAAGTTCAAGTTTGACTAGGTAAAAATTATTCACGTCATTTACTACCGACTCTGTGATAGGTAAGAAATCGTGAGGCATATTAAGATATAAGATAGATGACCAACAACATATTTCTTAAACTCGAATGTGTAAAGCTAGCAATCCTTTAGCTAGAAGGTACTGTTCTAAACAATGAAATGAATGTCGGTTACTTCATTCCAAGTCGATAATTTAAAGTTAATCTATTTACACAATATTACTCACTTAATCTATTTAGCATCCCTAACCGGTTAAGAAAAGGAATTAATTTACCTGAGTTACTCCCTTCCAGTGTATTTCTGGCATAAAGATGTTATTTCCAATGTTCAAGAAAATTTCATTCAGTGAATATTTTCTAAGTAACGAATTAGTTTTGCAACTTTTAGCTTTACAACTTTCATTTAATGTATATGCTATTGATTATCTATTTATGGAAATTAAGCATGTTGTTATTTTTGTTTAATATTGAAATAATTTAATTCTTGACGAATATAATTTTCTTTGGTACCTCGCCAGAAGTAAAAGCTCCAGATGTTTCACAAAATTTCCTAGTAAAACGCTGTCGGCTCTTCCGATTAGAAAGGATGCTTATGAATTGAGGAACTTGCTTCACGGATTTTTCGCAACGTCGGAATGTTTACCGGGCAGCGTCTGTGGAAACGCTATCTCAATACTTCGCCGGACAAAGCATGCATTACAAAACAATAGAACGAGAAAAAGGTGGAATAATAATGAAATATGAATTTCAAATTAATCATGCAATAAAAAAAATTACTTGAAGAATCACAATTGAGAGAAAAATAAAATAAATTCACTGGTTGATTGCTTTTTAGTCCAGTATAGTGGGAGCATTATTTCTTTATCAAAGATATACAAGGCGATGTTATTGTCGGTATCTACACTTAACCGCCAAGTCTGTTCCTTCAACCAAAAGAATCAGGTAGTAAAAAAGATAAAGAAGAACAAGGAAATTGTATTCTATACGTTAAAAAAAGCATATAATTATGCCTCCACAGTAGGCAAGAGACCACGTGGAAGACCAAAAACAAAATGGATAGAATATATCACTGATTCTGTAGAGCTTATGACCATATTAAAAATGAAAGTTAATATAAAGGAAGGATATGGTCCAGGGGGGCGGTCAAAAATAGGCTAAATAATGGCAAAACTATTTTATTAAAAGCCAACGTTTCGAGCCGACTTTGCAGGTCTTCTTCAGGGCTAGAACGAACAAGATACAAAAAGATATAGAGAATGGTGAAGGTTACATGATATTTAGACAAAAAATTATAAACAATGTGAATAAGCTTATTAAAATTATAGTAAGCACATTAAAATATAAACAGGGTAAGCTAAGTAACAAGATCCTAAACTGAAGTAAATAGATGGTAACTATTGCTGTAGTGTAATATATAATATACGTAAATGTGAATATACTTCTACAGATCTACAGGCGACATTGAAGGAAAAGTAAAAAGGATATAATATGAAATAATAGACATAAAGGAATGTGGAGAAAGGAAAGGAAAAAGAAGACCAAAAAATAAATAAATAAGTAAATAAAATTAAGAGAATTACGAAAGTTAATATATTTCTGTGGCATACTCGTTAATTGGAAAAAAGAAATACATACACTACAAATACAAAAAGCAACAACGTTATTATGAAAATAATTGAATCAATCAACAGCTTTATTTATTTTAATCGTAAATTTTCAGAAATATATATAAATTTAGTTATTCACTCATAAATACGGATCAATTCATATAATAGAGTTCTAGGTGAATAACTCTGGTTCATAACCACTTTACCTTAAGAATATTTTAATATTTTTTTAATAAATAAAAAGTGTATTCAGGCAATTATGATTATTATAATGCATTCAATGTCACGGGAAAACATCAAATAAAAAATTTACAATAATTAATTGTAGTCCTTTTAGGTGAAAACTCGAGTATTTTCAGGTGATGGGATATAAAATCACATAACTTTTTTAACACAATTTGAGGTGAATCTCAATTTTTTTTTTAATAAACCTCGATTTAATTAATTTGGGTTTAAAGCTTATTAAACGAGGAAGCTTTTCTTAAAGTGGGATATATGTAGTTGGAGAATGAAAAAAAAAAATCAGGAATATTTTTTTTTTATTATTGAAATTTACAACTGTATTAAATGGTAAATACAACAAGCAAATATAAAACAAGTAATATGACATGTACAACATGAAGAGAAACTACCCATTGCTAGGACTCCAATTATATTTCTATATTAGAAGGTCCCGAGGCCATCTTCTTTTCAGATGCCTCGGAGGGTTATCAGGAATAGAAGAGAAAGCATGATAGGAAACAAGAGGATTCGGATGGTTCAGAAGATTATTATGGAAGGACAGGTATCTGGATTGAGCTAAATCGGAATCATATGGTACATTAAGGTCGTTATGGCTGATTTTATTTGTGACAAAGTAGGTAGCATTGAGGAAGGAATAATCTATGGTATATTTTAAAACAGAACTTAGATTTTGGCCGCTCAAAAGTCCTTTATAAATGGTTTTACCGATGACAAACTCTTATTTTCGATTGAAGTAAATTTTGTCTAGTTTATAATGAAGCAATCGTTAATTATTTAAATTAAATATTTCTTTAGTGATCGCTTCCCATTCACCAAATAACACAACTTGCTTTAAAAAACACAAAACT